TTTTCCTGCGGGTCTTTGTGCTACCTTCGGCTATTGGAACAAAAACAAAACGAAAATTGAAGCACTGCCCCCCCCCCTTTTTTTGAAATTCTATAAAGTCTGTTTTGTTTGAGAGGGGTTTTCTTTTAGATATAAAATTTATTTTGTAGTATAAATTATACTATAAAATAAGTCTTATATTTATATCTGGAAAAGTATTAATTAAACATTATTATTAAAATTATTATTCTTCTTGTCTTTAATGTAAGATCTAATTAGAGAGTTGATATTAGTCTTATATATAAAGCCTGTTTCATGTGTTTACCAATTTTTTTCAAATTAACCTTATTAACATTCCTAAGAATAATCAAGTAGAAAAGGGAGGGAGAAAATTATGAAAGATATTTAGAATGTTTTAGAAAAAAATTTATCATATTAATTAATTTAACTAACATTCTTAATCTACTGATATTAGTTAATTAGATGTTATATGAAGTACTCCTCTGGTCCTTAATATAGGACCCAATTATTGAGTTGGTTTTGGTCCTAAATATAAGACTCATTTCTCATATTTATCAATTTTCTCTAAATTACCCCTATAGATACTCCCTCAACTATAATCAAGTAGAAGAGAGAGATGAGGTATTAAGAAAGATGATTATGGTGTTTTAGGAAAAACGCATCATATTTCTCATAATTAACTAACTTACCTAACTTCATTAATATAATCAAATTAGTTAAATGAGTCTTATATTAAGGACCGGAGGAGTATGAGAAAATTATAATGTAAATTGAACATAGATCCGCATGTATACCCTCCACCACAGGGCGGAAGAACTTTTTTTTTCCCTTTTTAAAATATTAGCTTTTTTGTTTATGATAAACTCAAATATTAGCTTTATATAACTAGATGGCGGTAAAACACAGGAGGCACGAGGTTGTGAGGCAAAATCTGCAAGTTTATTAAGGAGGTAATAGAACGTGATGCTTGATCACAGAGTATGAAAATGAAGCCACATGGTTCACCATAAATATTTTTTTTTTTACTGAGAAACTGAAAAACTCTATTAATAACTCAAAAATATAAACTCAAACATAAACTAACAACCCTTCATTAAAGAGCCACCACAAAAACAAAAGGTAGAGGTTAATCAATGATGACAAAATTTTCTATAATACTGCTAACTTTGCCATATAGTCAGCCGCTGTGACAAAAGACCGCTCAACATGCATGATTCAACCTGACGACCCAGTTCCTATGAATAATTAATCTTGCCTCGTCAACAAGGTCGCTGAACGGATGGCTGTAATCACATCCTGTTGCAACCGTGTTAATAGCGTTGATACAATGAGATAAATTCAGACCTCTAGCCCAACAGATTTGAGTGGCGTCAAAGAACGTGTATTATGGTTAATTATAGATAGTGATATACATTGACTTGCCTCAGGCAAGAGTGGCGGGCGACTCATCGCTTGCAGACAAACATTGCAACATGGACGGGGAGTACTCAAAAAATGGAAAGGTCAAAAAGTTGGAATACCGTCCAATGAGGAGCAGAATAAGTAGCATCACTTTTTCAATAAAGGTATTATTATGCTTATAATAAAATACTGTTTGTCGACTCCATTTATATTGGTTTTGTGAGATTTCCATTTTTGTCCGCATTTTAATAGAAAGAATGGCAGGACATCTTTATCAAGAGCCAGATGAACAATAATATTTATAATCTTAATGGCTTGACTCATTCAGAATGTGATATGTAGTGGATAGATTTATCATTTAAGTATGTGAAGGATTAGAAGCACTTGAAAGATTGAGGGAAATAAAGTAAATGAGCAGATGATCACATTTGACCAGTTCATAGTTATTGGGGAGTGGATTATCGGTGAGGTTATATGACTCTCAATCCGTTTATAATTAAGTGCGATCTATGGATGTTTTTTTTTCAGCGGCCAATAATTATTAATTATTACTATATACTATTTCTAGTTTTTGATATAAGACATGATTGACTAATTTGAGTAGATTAAAAAAATTAGTTATCCATAATAAATTAAATAGATATTATCTTTTCTAAAATACATTTATTAATAATATATTAACTAAAACTATTATTTGACGGGACTTTCAACATGTATAATTATTATAATAAATAAATAAATATAAAAAAAAATAAATTAAGATTTTATATTTAGAATAAATTAAATATTAAATTAGTTTTTATATTAAAGACCGGAGGTAGTAAAATACAATCCCCTGCTAAATCTTGTCGAGAGCGAAGACCAGTCAATCTCCCGCAACTTTTATAATTATTATTTGATCCAGATTGAAGGACAATTTGTCATATTAACAAAATTTCTGTCTATTTTATCTTTTCTCCCTTTGCTTTTATGAGAATGCATTAGTGGTCATAGTGTGATTGATTAGTCTTCGATTGACGATACCAGTCTCTTAATAACGATTCTTCAAAATTTAATAAATACTCATTTGATTCAATTTATAAATCACTTTCTACATATTTGATATAAGTCAAGAAAAATATTAAATTTCACTAACTCTTATTTAAAATTTAATTTATTTTTTATTTTATTCTTATTTAATAACATTATGCTTCATGTGAATAAATTCAATACAATAATAAATAAGTAAAATTGCACACTCGTGTCAAAAGTTTTTCTCTTTATTCTATAAATAGTATCAAAAAATTTATTTTCTCTCTACTTTATAAATAGAATAAGAAGAGTAAAAGAGAGGTCCTTAAATGAATTTGATTTATTTTTTGACTTTAATGACACAGATAAGAATAAAACTGGAAGTGACTGTCATTTTTTTCATAAGGTTAAGGATAAATAACTTTTCATGATATATGTGAATTACTCCTCCGGTCCTTATTATAAGACCCAATTTGACTTTTTATTTGGTCCTAATTATAAGACCCAATCCATTTTCTCTTTATATTTATGCATTTTTTTTCAAGATAATCCTTCTAATAATGATAGTTTTAGCCAATATACTTAATTAGCAAGGATATTTTAGGAATAACAACACTTATTTATTATAAATAACCAATTTAACTTACTTCCTTAATCTCCTCAAGTAAGTCAATTGGGTCTTATAATTAAGACCGGAGGAGTAGTTATTAGATTTGCCTAATATTTAAGCACGGATGAGTATTATTTAAAATAATGTATGTAAATTAATAAAACTATTAGATAACTTACATAACGATTGAATTTAATTTTGTTTGACTCAAAAACCCTTATTCAATGCATTTTGATTCATCAATCATTTTAAAAGTATAAAACTGAAAGGTGAACTAATTAACTGAAAAAATGGGTCGGCGCTTTGGGCCTTGAGCTTACGAAGTTCATGAGAATAGGCTAGACAGCTGCTCTCTGGCAATAAAAACACAAAAACATAAGAGTGGGGTTTAAAACCCTAAATGAGTCACCATATTTTTCAACATATTCTTTTTTTTTCGGGTAGATTTTTCAACATATTCTTTACCACGCCTTATACAATCGGACGAAGATGTGGGCCCCAAATTATAATATATATGTTTTCTTAGTATATAACTTAATTATTGAATTGATTTTAGTATTAAATATAGGATTTATTTATCATATTTATTAATTTTTTCAAAAATGACCTCTATTGATACTCTCTCAACTATAATTAAGTAGGAGATAACCAGGGAGATATTAAAAAAATAATTATTATATTTTAAAAAAAATATCATATCTCTTATGTTTTACGTTAAGCAGCGGAGTACAAAGTACCTGAGGCAATTAAGAAAAGTATCCTTTCGTTTGGGCACCAAGCTGGGGCCTTGGGGGGAATATACCTTAACAAATTCCTTTGTCTCTGGCCCTAGATTAATTAAATATGTTTTACGTCATCGTCGTCATGGAATCTCCGGATTGGTCATCCTCACCAACTAAACGCCAAAGAAAGAAAATTCAAATACCCACAAAGCAAAGCAAAGAAAACGATTGGTATTTCACTTTTCCATTAAGGCTGCTCAAGCCAGGCGATTATATTACGGGCTTGAAAATTTCTGTGATGGGCATCACCGTTCTGCAGTTTAGCTTCCTAGACGAATCGGGTTATACATTGAACCAGTTAACCTCAAAGCCATCTCATATGTTTTCTGTATCATTAGATTTATCTTTATTCTTTACTTTGTGTATAGAGTAAGGGTGTGTTTGGATAGAAACCAAACCATAGTTTCAGAAGTGCTTTTACGAATTACGAAGTAAATATGTAGAGGAGATTATCTCGTTTTGCGGAAAAAGTGCTTCTGAAACCACGGTTTTGGGATATCCAAACAGGCCCTAATTTCCAGTCACTCTTGTTTAGTCTTTACCTCTAATGTGGTACTCAATAATTATACTAAATTTGTCACTTGCTCCCATTTCAAGCGGTGCCTACCCACATCCGCGCATTGCCTGAGTCCTGAATCCTAAACTACTCAGTAAAGTAGTTAGTTCAAATTTGGCAGAAAAGAAAAGAAAATAAATAGTTAGTCCAAAACCAATGAAAAGAATGTCTAATTATTTTTTTGAAAAAAAAAACATTATATATGTCGTCAACAAAAAGGACGCTTATGTCGTATGATTTAATGAAAAAAAGGGAGAAGTTGGCATTAAAAACAATAGTGAAAAACACGAGAAATTTAAATAGATTTTGAAAATAGATAGAAGGAAAATGTATGTATATAATTTCAATAAAGCATAAGAAAATTTCCAATAATTCCATTAAGAAAATATTGACAAACTCGATTGCTTGCTTCTCTCTCCTCCCGCATTTTTATAAGCTGTGTTCGTGTTTGCATTTTCAAACTCGTGTCAAAGAGAATGGTGAAGTTACCAGCCCCAGGACCACACATAACTTTCCTAATCCGACGACGCCCCAACACGTCTTTAGCCATCGGCTTAATAAAGTTGCAACAATAAGTCAACAAGTTCATTTCTTTTTGAGAAGAAATTGATTGGTGAAGTACTCGTCAGGCCGCCAAAAAAAAATCTCGAACTTGCTTAGCAATTTTAGTGATAAAAAACCAAACCGAACTACACGAAATCTAACAGTAGAAAGATAGAGTAATATATACAAGAGCGAGACAGTAAAAGCAAAAGCAAATTACAATATCAGATAGCTAGGATGGATATGACAGATGAAGTTTTGCTTAGAGGGATGATGTGATCAAAGCCTGAAGCATCCAACAAGACGATGATGGTGGTGTTCCCTGTGAATGATGGCTTCAACATACTTGAAATGCTTCAACTGGCAAGGGATGGCTATGGCTCCTTCTTGCTTAAACCCATACTCTTCCTCTGCCTGCTTCAGCAGCTCTGCAAACAGAGGGTGATTCAAGTAACTCACCGGCACCACTATTCTCTCTTGCACCTCTCTACCTATTTTAATCGCCAACCACCCTCTTGGCGGCGCCATATATCTCTTTATTATCCCTGCTTTTGATCTCTCCTCATGATCGCTCTCAGTATTATCAGTTCCATGATGCGGATGCTGTGTGGCGATCCCAAGTTCTTTCAGTTTAAAGCTCCTATTTCCGCTTCCTACCATCAGCAATCGCTTCACACTTCTGGTGATGAACTCCAGAATTGGTACGTTTTGCAAAAGTTTCAGACGAGGGAATAACGGTGAAAGTCCGCCAAGTAGAAGAAGAAGATGGGGGAGGACAAAGATTTTTTTTTTTGGAGGACAAAGATTGAATGAATGGCTTCTTGGTTTTGAGAAATGGGGTATTGCAGTTGGGAAGAAGGGTTTTATGATTTGGTGCTTTCTGGATAAGAATAGACTTTTAAGCTACTACCGGAAGATGTTGACCAAAAACAAAAAAACCAATGGAAGAGATGGGTATTTGCTAGTGGCGGCACCCAAAGGGGATGGAAATGAGAGAGGACCAAAGTTTGCTATTTAACAATGTCACCTCTCCGTGGATTTGCAAGGAGCGTTCATTGTTTGTTTCCAAGTGGGATTGTAAGTGTAACACTTGAAATGATATATTTATAAATTTAAGTGAGGTAGTATTTAATGTCTTGAATGTTTCAAAAGTAACTGAATTTTATATTGGGGTTTAGTAGTTTCGAGGGAGTGGGTTCGAAAAATCTGCTGGTCGAAAGATATGATGGCTCATTGTAGTTCTTTAAGAAATCAGTATCAATCAGGGGGTGGGCTTGGGCCCGGTCTTATTTAATTCGACCTCATCTTAAAGTAGGCCCCATCTGGATTTTTGTCTCATCGTTTTGGGTGGTCCAGATGGTTGTACAATTTTTTAACCTGGTAGAATTATTCTTCTAGACAATCTTGTTCGAGTTACTGTTAAGCGTTAAATATAAATACCTTTTCCAAAAGAGATTATTCCCTTGATTAACTAGTAACTACATCATAAGGAACTAACCACTTCTTCTACGCCCAACTTTTGATGGTGTTGTACAAATGATACTGAATGACAAAATAGGGTGGGAAAAAAAAAAAAGGCCTGAGGCTAAGAGAGTGAGCATGGGCTAAAGCCTACATACAAGCTCTTTGTTAGACTTAGTCTTGAACCTGCGGAGGGCCTGGTTTGGCATGCGGCATTTTTACAGGCCTATAAATAGATTGAGAGAAATAGGACTAAAAATGTTTGAAGTAGGATTTAAGCCCATCCTATTATGAGTTCCACATAAATAAGCCTGATAAGAATTCTTTGTTGGCACAAGTATCGAGATCTTTTTAAGTGCTAACTGTACACACCCCTCTCAAATAATCATTTTATGAGATGCACTTGAGATTAGCTCTTATAAATGAATGATAAAATGAGCGGAGTGGGTAATGGCCAGGATTCAAAACTTTTCATACGACCAAAAAATAAATTTCTAAATTCATCAAATTTAATATAAAAAATAGCATGCATTTATAACGTTTTATTATTCATAAATCATAAATAAAGTAACTCATCACGCAGACTCTCTGAAACATATAGACGAGAGAAGTTTTCACAATATGTTAATATGAGGTTGAAATATAGATAAGACCCAGCATGTATTGAAACTTTGAATTTTGTATTAAAATCAGCTGCTATCGTCAAGCACAATCCCAATTACCTTTTTCCCAACTAGCCCTCATAACTGATGCATGGGATGGTTTCTTTGATAGATATGGTTATTACCAAAAAAATAACAGCATATGAATATCAATAAGTATAATTAATTAACCATAACAAATTATACATTTTTGATACTTTGTACAATGCAAAATTAAAGTGAAGGTCATTGATGGAAGAGTGTGAGTAATAGTTGAGGGAGGCTTACAGTTATAGCCTAGCAAGTGAGGGAGACAAGTCTAGTAAGTAGAAATGAAGAGGAAAAAGGTGAAAGGAAAGGAAAGGTGCCCAGCTATGGATTCCACTAGCACATGTCAAAAGCTCTAATCACACTCCACACCCTGCCCTACCAATTTACATACATTTATTTTGACTATATGGCCTCATCTCTTTTCACTTCACACTCACAATATAGTACACCCTACCGCTTTCCATGCAACCCTCCTCCCTCCATTGTCCATATATATATGGCTTGAACATGACTTTTAGTTGTTTCTTTAAATTTAAAACCTACTCTCTCTGATTCTATTTATAAGCTTTAAATTTTAAAAAGAGTATAGTTTATTTTATAAGTTTCAATTTAGATTTATTTTAACACTTAATATATATTTTTCAATGTTGCCCTTCATTGTTTTTCTCTTATCATATTTTTCCACGCATTCTCTTTCATCATTTTTCTCATTTATTATAAGAGCATATTTAAAAATAAAAATATATTTCTAACATATTTATTATTTTCAATTAATTTTTATTGTTTTTGAATTAATTATTTGAAACTTATAAAGTTATAATAAAGACCGGAGGGAATACTTTTTAAAACGACAAGTATTTGAGGGGGGGGGGGAATGAGGGCAACGGCAAAGAGGCAAAGTGAAGCTCGTCTTCTCATTTATTATGTCTGACCACAGTATGTAACACAATTATCCATTGATTTTTTCAATATACTTTTATTTTCCTTTCTATTTTCTTAATTGACATGAGTGATAGGAACTCTTAATATATCATTTGGAATTCAGTTCTTAATATCAATGGGTATATTGTAGACAATAGTTGAATGAGGTTTGTTCTAAGAAAATAAATTTTTATATCAAAGTCATAATTTGGTTTTAAAATTTGAATTGAAAAATACAACAAAAAAAAAGGAGCAAGTTGGAAGATTTACATTGGGACGGCATCAATTATTTAGGTGGAAATGTCAAGTCAAATGAGGCCATAATAAAGGCAACGTCGTTGGAATTGAACTGGCATGAGTCACGAGTCACGACCCCATTCTGCATACTTTCTCATACACATATATCATGGTGAAAGCCAGAAAGCAAAGGGAGGGTTGGTTGGATGAACTTTGTGAACCTTTGAAAGGTCAAAAAGATCCAATTTCCCAAAAGCCTCTTCTTTTTGAGACATCGGTGTTCTCATTTTCACAACAAACATGATATTATACTAAAGTGGGTTAAGGAGACAAATTTGAATACTCGCTGCTTTATGTGGGAATCAGGTCTCAATATGGATTTCGTAGGAGGATCTTCTGTTTAGATGGACACATCAGCAGAGATACACAATGTAATGTACGAATTAACGGTATTTCAAATAATGGGTCGTATTCGTTGTTTGTATTTGAGATTTTTACAGGAGAAATTAGCCTCAGAATTTCAATTTCCATTTACGGGTGTGTTTAATAATTTTGTGCACTTGGCGTGAGTTTGAAATGGTGCTAGCCCCTTTAAGCCAGGCCTATATTCAGCTTAGTAAAACGCAAGAACGGACTTGAGGTGGTCCATACGCTTTAAATTTTGGCAGTAGAAATGATTTCTTTTTTCAAGAAAAAATGAAGGCGAAGCACTACATAGAATCATCAAATATCACTAATGGTATTGATATTGATATTAAATTATCAAGACAAATGGAAACGGTGAAAAGGGATGGAGTAAATTGAATGAAGGTCTCAGCTTTTCATGGAATCAATCAATCCCCGAGTCAAAATTAGAATAGGCTTTACCAAACAAAGAAAAAAAGAAAGAGAGAGACATCCTGTTTCCTAGCTTTTCATTTTATGCACTCAGCTTTTTATCTCTTCAAGAGGTCATCGTCAACTTCAGGGTTCACGACGGAAATAAATATAAGCCTCTTTTATTGCTAATCAACGTTGAATACCGCAGAAAAATCCATACACATGACTTGCTTTTAAAGCTTGTGATCGTTTTCAGTGTGAACTGAAACCACATCCAAGTGTGCAATCAATGAAGAAACAAATGAGTCAAATTGGATCCTTTACTCATACATAATCACGTGTCTCGTATCTCGAGATCAGAGAATAACAAAAGAGCCTACAGAGTTTTCCTTCTTTCTTTCTAAGAAAATAGTGATCTGATATGACCCGGTTCAGTGAGTGAACACCGTGCATATCATTCCTCTTGTGTTCCCCTACATGCCTCTACCTAGCTGCTGACTCTTGTGCTTTGCCTAGCATTCTGCACATGCTGCCCTCTTGGAATTAATTTTGCTGTCTCTTCACCCTTCAAATTTCCGATTCCTTGTGTTGCCAAGCAAGAAAGATAAAACAATAAAGAAATTGAAAAAAGGTGACCCCCCTTATAATTACATTAATCATTGATTCAATTCCCGTAGATGCAAACTGTATCTAGGAGAATAGCACAAACTAGCAAGCTTTGATTAGTAGGCACCACATCTGTGATGGTTTCTCGTATACTCTTCACCTGCAGTAAAGGTATTTGCTTAAACATATGTTTGGACTTTGGACCTGAGAAGAATGTATCAGACACATCAAAGGAGGAAAATATTATGTAGCAGAGTCTTTCATTCTTCGTTTCTCCAATCTATACCCAAACATTCTCTAGACGTAATTCCGTAGAATCTGGAGAGGTTGGCGGCATTATAACCCATTATTAGGTAATCTGTCAGAAGTTCGTCTAATATGAAATAGAAAAGGCTCAATCTGAGAAGCTAGTTAGACTTTTCATGACATCGCCCTTTGCTTAACGAAGCAATGACATGTACTTGCAACAACTTAGTTCTACACTACTTCCTACACTAGCATCTACATGCTCAGATCCATCAGTGCGCAGATCTATAAGAAGATATAGTTGAACCCAACAAGCCAGCGACATCCCAGTTGTAAACTTGTTATGATCAAAATGAATAAAAAAGTGGCAGACTCACAAGTTATAAGATCTGCATTGTATCTTCCATTCAAATGTAGGACTTCTTGTTCACCAAGGACAAAATGTAGGACTTCTATACAACTGTGGGAAGCAGAATCCAATATAAGAAAGGGCGTGCGTGGGCGTTTGTGAGGGCAGAAGGAACAAAAATTGATCCTAAATCCTAATCAAATATGGACTTCACTTTATTATCAGAGTTAGCATGGGAGAAATGACGAAAAGGGTCACCACTTTTCTCCTCCATCTGGCATACAAAGCTTCAGATCAAAGCCCAATGTTAGTCCTGGAAACCCTAAATAGATAGAGAAATATTTAAATAAAAAATGGCAACGGCGAAACTGAGCTAATAGGCGGCCAGATCTGAGAAAATATGACAGAAACAGACAGATCGGACACTGGAAAACACGATGAGAAACAAGATCTGGGGTAATGATGAAGAAAGTGTTTGACCTGACACCCGAAAGAGAAAATAAACTGAACTTACTTTTTACTTCCTTTTATTCTGAGAACATCATCATAACATGATCAGAGGAAAAGGAAGAAAACGAACGGAAAGGAGGTAATGATGAAAGCCTT